AGACAGAATAGAAGACCCCGGGTCTTCTAATGTGTCGATGGCTTTACTTTCTTTTTCGTTCCAGAAATCTATAAAAAGTCTTAAGGGTCCACTACAAAGAGTAATAAAGCATTTTCAGAACGTACTTTCAGACGTTCTTTTCTATTAGCCTTTTTTTTCCAATAGGATATACACGTACATACTGTAATACCTTGTTTATCGTCTAAACTAACATTAGATTTCTATTAAATGACAAACAGGTGATATTCATTTAATATTCAGCATACCAAATATTGAATTGAAAAAAAAACCGATTGAACATAATAATCATTTGAGATGTTCATCAATCTATCTGAAGACTAGATTATTTTTATAAGAGCCAAAGTTCAAATTAATACGCAACTTAATATTTCTATCTTTTATTTCGGTTGAAATAACAAAAACACAATATCACAAAAGTTTTCATATATACTGTCACAAATTTTTGATCGACCTAAATTACTTATGTGACTGTCAATATAACATTTATTGGTGGCTATTTTATTCTTTTCATTAAAGAAGTTTTCACGAGTTCTATCATTTCCAAAAGAGCAGTCATCACAAATACCAAGGATATATCGGCGAATAAAAGAGCAATACGAAAATGACATAAAAATAAAGATTCCCTAGACTGAAAGGCTAGGGTCTAGAAACCGAAATTCACCTGTGTCTTTCTGTCTGTCGGTAACGCGGTACAAGTGACCATTTTTTTGGCACAAGGAACCATCTTTTTGACACAAGTGACCATCTTTTTGGCATAAACGACCATTTTTTTGGCACAAAAAACCATTTTTATGGCACAAACGACCACTTTTTTGGCACAAGTGACCATTTTTTTGGCACAAATGATCATTTTTTGGCACAGGTGACCATTTTTTTGGCACAAATGATCGTTTTTTGGCACAAGTGACCTTTTTTTGGCACAAACAGCCATTTTTTTACTAAAATTAATTAGGTAACTATGATCCAAATGAGCATGTAACTATGGCACAAACGGTCATTTTTTTGGTAGAAACGACCACGTAACTATGGCACAGGTGACCATATAGCAACAATGGTACAAACAACTGTTCCGGTAACTATGGTACAAGTGACCATCGAAAGAGTGATGTAAACGAACCCATAATAATCATGGGTAAAATGTCAATGGAATAACTATAATTCGGGTAGTGGTGTAAAACGGCTTACAAAAGCATTTAATTAGTGAGAGTCAGACCAAATGAGCAGTATGAATTTAAAGAAATTGTTTAAATTATTGATTATTGTAGGATTGTGCAATGTTGTATCAATGAATATCTAATTTATTAATAGTTTAGAATTAATTCGCGAATTTAAGCATAAAATATTGATTAATAAAACGCAGATTTTATGAATAATATAATTCATATTTTTGTACGTACAAATAGCGCCAATATAATTATAAAAAAATCGTATTCTTGTCTAATCTTATTGGGCGCTATTTATATTTATAAAAGAAAAAAAAATAAAACAAAAACGATAAAAAAAATTAAATTTGTAAATGCATCATCTTTACTTAGAGTGAGAATTCTCCAAATTAAGTTTTCTGGTCGCCTAAGATATACTGGTCATATTATCAGTTTTGCGTATTACTTTTTTAATGTGGCTTTTATGCTATTACATCCGTACATGTATCCTATCAGTCTAGGGCTAAGTGAATCGCTTGACGATGAACGTTACTTGTTAAATAAGGAAAATCAAGTGCAGCTAAAATGGATATAAGTGAAACTATACGTCGAATCATTGTTAATTCCTGTTGAGCATCAGTTAATCTATTAACTGGATTTACATGTTTACTCATTTCTTGTGCATATCTAACCGTTTTTAAATAGATAAATATTATGCTTAGCATAGGAAACAAATAAACATAAATTGCACTAGAAATTGTAAGTAACGAAAATCCTAGAGGTACTTGACATATTTGATTATCAACGCTAGCCATGCAGAATCTACCCTTGTGAGCCGATGGTCGTCAGGGGAAATTTTCGAAAATTTAGTGACACCTAAGACAGCGTTTTGACATTTTCTTTCAGCCTTCTTTTCATTCACACCCACACCCACAGAGAAAGAGTTACCATCTCAAATAAACTAAATAACATGTCGCCTAATTAGAACACCTAATCAATGAAAGTGATCTATATAGACAAATCTGTTGTTTTCTTGTTATTTATTTGTTGTATAAATTTTTCCCAATTAAATATGGAAGATTTTGGAAAATAACGTTGAAAATACTAAATATCATCTTAAAGTGAAAATTAGAAAGGATTTTTCGATGAAAGCAGATGCATGAATTACTGATAATACCAAACTCTCGTTAATAAATAGTTTTCTCAATGATGATGCAGGTTGCTTTCGTCCTCAGCAGTGAAACTGTCGTAGCGGCAATCGAGTGTGGTGAATCTCTATATTGAAATATAATGACAAACGTACAATAGATAAAAAGAAAATTGGTCTCACCGTATTATTTCGTAATGACAGAGCCAGATATTTTGCCCCTTCAGCACCAAGATCGTTGTAGCACAAATCGAGTGTAGTGAGTGTCTGTATTGAAATATAATGGTGAATTTACAATGGATAAAAAGAAAACTGGTCTCACGCTTAGAGCAACTGATGGAAGAGGACTTCTCATAGATGTCATAATACCATTAGATCAGGTATCGACGGCTAAACGTCAGAATGCCCAAAAGTAAACTATATATTCTTAAAGTTAAGCAATTTGAGTTGTTTTGGGGTAACGATTTCATTACCCTTAAATGAAACGATGAGTACTGTTGTTTGTCAACAAACAAATTTGAAATTGAAAAAGTACCAGAACGCTTTATTATCATTTTCTGTACTAAGGAGTGAGATTTTTTACTTTGTGCTATGTAATGTGATAAATTGTAAAACAAAATATATCTATTTATGAGTTTCCATATATGTACTACTTGAAAGCTGAATTCAACTATTCAGCTTTGAAGAGAATGAGCAAATCCTACAGGGGGAGGAGGGGGGGGGGAAAGAGCTGAGTGTGAGGGTGCAACCCTTGAGGGAGGCAAAACCGCACAGGGGCAGACGAAGGAAAACAGTTAAATATTTGAAATCATCCTTCAAGTTTGATACTACTGATACTGAATTGTCTAATTCGAATTCCAATATGAATGAAGTTCTGACAGCTTCATATCATTTAGAAAATAAACTGAAAGGGAAAAAAATGGCATTTTTCTCTTGCGAGAGAACCTCCCGAGGTGTAACCTCCCATTTTGATTCATTTATATGTCATTGAAGTGAGCATATTGAGATAGGAAAAACCCTAAAAGGATTTGAGTTCCTGCTGCTTCTATCAAGAGTTATGACCGGTTTACTGAATTTCCTATTCATTCGTAGGTATTTACTGTAAAAATAAAATTAGAGAATTTCGACCTGAAATTTTTGCCCACAAATAGGTCTAATGGTCCTTAAAATATCCAGAAAGTTTCAGCCAAGAAGAGTATTTTTTTCTCTAGATATTGATTTTTCAAAAAATAGTCGCTTGCCATAAATACGTTACAAAAACTGAGTCCACTCGAAAAATTAATATCTTGAGAAAGGAACATTCTTTATAGCTGAAACTTTCAGGATATTTTAAGGACTATTGAACCTATTTGTAGGCAAAAATTTCAGATCGAAATTCCATAACTTTATTTTTACAACAAATACCTAGAAATTGATAGGACATTACAGATAAAAGGAGGGTATTGAGCACTAAAAAAAACATCAGCCTATACGAATCAATTGCCATAAAAAATATGACGAACTGAAAAAATGACAGTCGTTCCCTTAATTTGACGAATTCACCGAAATGCTGAGGAGATATTTCTCCCTGCAGATAAGAAATTCTCATTTCCATTTTTTTTCCACCGACATCTTTGGACTAAAAGTATTGTTACAACAGTAGGATCGCAACAGTCATTCGCTTGGCGTAATACACCAAAACAGCTCAAATTGCTCGACGTTTAAAAATGTATAGTTATTATTGTGTTTTCTGAATGTGAATACTCAGTGTGACGAGATTATGACACCTCTCAGACCTCTTGATGATATGGCATCCCAAAAGATTATGCCTCTTTGAAATTTAGCTATTTGCGCATTAAGTAAGTCAGTTTCAAGATGTTCACGTTAGGCATCCTATACACCATCGCTTCTTCTACTATGAAAACCTTGAAAATAAAGAAATCTGAGAAATCGCAATTAATAACATGATTCTGTTTCAATTTTTCGAATTTTTCTTTACATCTAACATTGTTCTCGATTATGAATACATTCGGCACGTTTTGATTTATTAAGATCGCATAAGTTTTGTGCTTTTTATTTTTCAATAATTTCAGTTGTAATTGTATAAAGATGCGCTAAAATGTACTTTTCGACGATGGAAATCATTTTCCATTGAGAATAGCATTAGGTTTTTTGTAGTAGGAACATCTTTTTACAATTTTACATAAATTTCAAGCATTTTGTTGATATTTAAGTCTTGTAACTGTCACAAGACGACTGAATGTTTTTCATTTATATTTTAATGGTGGTGGATTATTACAACTTTGATTGAATCGGATAATTTGGCTGTTACTCCATGTTGTATAGAGACAACTCAAACTCAATAAAAAAAATGATCTAAAATCTTTTCTTTCTTCGTAACTGATGGACATCGAAGACAAAACCTCTTATAAAATCTAAACACTTCTAGATATAAACTCACTTTTATACAAAATACAACAATTCTCAGCCTTTCTCGTGATGATTATGACATCACTCAGTCAACTATATCATCCCAGATCGAGAAGTACGAACTGGATCCTGTGGAATAGCATTAGAAATGCTATGAACTTGGGAAGCAGGGATCCGATAGCTTTCCTGTGGGTTGCCTCCAGAAATTCACGGAATACTGCTTGAGGAATCATTGTCCTGGAATCCTTTCCTTTCTTTATTATCTTCTCACTATTATCTCTCTCTCTGTTAATATCTCTTATTCGCTTTGTATATGCATGTGTTGTATGCATGATAGATACATTCTAAAACTACGCAGCAGCTTAGTAACCATCATCATCAGAAAAACCAGTCAATTTACTTCTCCAGTCGATCGTTACAACACTGTCATAATCCAATTAGCAGCGGAAAATGACGAAATTTGCTACAAAAAATCATGCATTTTAGTCTTGCTTATGCATTTCAGTCATATTTTTAGTTAGAGAGCTGAAAATTTGGGAAATTAAAGATCATAATCAGATATACCTAATGAAAAATTTCAAGGACTAAAGTCGATTAAAATTTTGAAACCTATTGGTCTAATCGAAATCGGAAATCCAATTTTTGTGAAACAAAATTGAGACTTTTAGTGATGAAAATAAAAATTATAATCGATATAGATCAATGAGGAGGCATTAATAATCCATTGTTACCGATTTTTATTTTTATTTAATTTAATTATCATCTAAATTTTGTTTCATAAAAATTCGATTATCGATTTCGTTTATTACCAATAGGTTCTGCAGTTTTAATCGGTCTTAATCGCTCGGATTTTCTACTGGGTTGTTATCTATTAATCTATTTCTATGTATTATTATTACCTATTAATCGGTTTTAATCATGCACACTGAAGATATTTTTTCATGACTTTTCTGGAATGTTTTTCTTCAGGAATCATGAAATTGTCAATCAACTTAAGTTCATCACATGTAGTAAGGTAGGAACTACTACATAAGTTACTTCTTATTGAGATGGAGTAAACACACTCAGAAAACGATTAAAACTGATCAAAAAAGTTAAGAAATCGATTTTAATCAACTGCATACTTCTTCTTACCTTTTTCTATTTAATAATCTGATAAACAGTTTCATTTCATTATTTCCTTTTGGAATTGAAAAACATCATTTATCTTGCGGATGAACATACTCTTGATAAGAAACAATTTTCGCTAGATTGTTTCAATCTAATTTATGTTTTCGAAAGCGCAATAATATTGTTCATGATCATGTTTATCGTGTTTGTTGTAGAACTTTTTTGGTAATAATTATTACAGGATATTTGCATCTACGGTCGTATTCATAATATTACTCAAAGATTTATTGAAGAGATTGAAATCGACTAACGATCAAAATTAAATTATCACCTGCCAAATCGTTAATAATCAAATGCAAAGTCCAAAATTGGGTGTTTCTTTATTCAGATTTAAAGCGATCAAAACTAAATTGCTACCATAACATTGTTTGATTATTCAACGAAAATACCCGAATCAGATTTTTTTTTTTGATTGAGATTTGCATGAATAGAACGAATCAAAATTGATTGTTGCTGAAATTTGAATTGCAATAGAGGTCATTCTAATTAGTTAATCTATTAGTTAATCTATCAATCCGAATTTCATCGATTGAGATTATAATGAGTTACAAAGTTTAAATCGATTATCGATGAAAATCGAATTAAGGTCATGATAATCGTAAATAATCAATTGAAAATCCATCGTTTCGGTTTTCATCGATTGTGATCTGAATCGATTAAAAATATTACTATCGATTGTTGATAAAACTCTGATTAGAGACGAGATAATCGAAAATAATCGGTTAAATAGAATATTGTTTCCTCTGAGTTACAGATTTTAATCAAATTCAATCTTATTTTCTGCTAAAACAGAAGAGTCCGTCGAAAAAGTGAAGTTTTAGTACTAATGATCAAAAATACTTGCACGGATTACATATAATAAAAGTTTCAAATTACTTAGTCAAGAAAATATAAGAAAGAAGATATCATTAACAATTTATCCTCACTAATTATGGCACACCCTTTATA